TAGTTATCTTGTAGACAACATATGTATGGGTTATGCTTTCTTATCTATTCAGAAACCTGTGTCTTTTGATTGAGGCATTTAATCCATTTACATTTAAGGCTGTTATTGATATGTACATATATATTGTCATTTTTGTTTATTATGCTTATGTTTCTCTCTCTATTCTGCTTATTTTTGTTTTTTAAATCCTCACCTGAGGATATTTTTCCATTCATTTTTACAGTAGGAGATTACAAAGAGTGAGCAAGAGAGAGGGGTAGAGGGAGAAACATCAATATGAGAGAGAAATGTCGACCTGTTGCCTCCCGCACAACCCTTGCCAGGTCTGGGGACTGAGCCACAACAGAGGTGCATGCCATTGCTTGTAATCAAACCTGAGACTCTTTGGTTCTCTGGCCAATGCTCTAACCACTGAGCAAAACTAGCTAGGGCTATTTTGCTCATGGAAGCAGTCCCTTTAATATCTTTGCAAAGCTGTTTGGTGATAATATATTCCATTAGCCTTTTTTTTTTTTAGTCTGGAAAGCTCTTTATTTCCCCTTCTATTTTAAATGATAACCTTTCTGGATAGTGTAGTCATGGATTCCAATCCTTGTTTTTCATTACCTTGAATGCTTCATGCTATTTCCTTCTGGCCTCTAGTGTTTCTGTTGATAAATCAGCTGACAGCCTTATGCGAGCTCCTTTGTAGGTAACCTGTTGCTTTTCTCTTGCTGCCTTTATGAGTCTCTCTTTGTCTTTAATTTTTGGCATTTAATTTATGATGTGTCTTGTCATAGGTTTTTTTGGGTTCCTCTTGCTTGGCACTGTCTGTGCTTCCTGAACTTGTATGCCTTTTTCTTTCACCAAGTTAGGGAAGTTTTTTGCCACTATTTCTTCAAACAGATTCACTAACCCTTACTCACTTTCTTCTTTCGGTATTCCTATGATGTGGATGTTGTTACATTTTATATTGTCCCACAGTTCTCTTAAACTGTCCTGTTTTAATTTTTGTTTTTTTTTTCTTTTTGGTTCTTTGCTTGAGTAATTTTTTTCTACCCTGTCTTCTCATTCACTGATCTGAACTTTGGCTTCCTCTACTCTGTTGGTTCTTCCTTCCAGTGTGTTATTTCTGCTATGTTATTCTTGATTTTTTATTTGTCGTTTTTTATTGTTTCTATATTTTTTCCTGATGCTGTTGAGTGTGCTCATAGTTATTACTCTGAACTCTATATCTGATAACTGGCTAATTGCCTTTTCATTTATTCCTTCTTCTGGAAATTTTCTTGTTCTTTTATTTGGGATTTCTTTCTTTGTTTCATCAGTTTTGCTGTCTCAGCAGTGTTTGGAGCCTGTCAAACTCTCCCTATTGGCATCAATGTTCCACAGCTTTTGGCTCCCTGCTGGGTGTGGATATGCATGAAAGGGACCATGCTGAACACCAGTGTCTGGTCTTAGTCTCCTGGGTAGAGTTGCAGGCCAGGAAAAGATTCAAGTATCTCAGAGATTTGCCTCTGCCTGAAGGCTGACTGTTAGATTCTTAGTCACTTAATAAGCCTCAGATTGTAGTCATCAGTTGGATGAAAATTCCCCCAGGTGGACAGAGTAAGAGGATTTCCAGTAGTTGAGGCAATTGCTTTCCACTGGACTAAAGCTACTTTGATAGGAAAACTGTCTGAAGAAAATGATTTTCTGCAGTATGGGTTAATGATTCAGCACAGGGGCCCAGGCAGTAGCCTTCACAGCTGGGACCCCAGAGCCTCAAAACTTAAGAACCTCGAGCTGGGTCCAAGGCTCAAGGCACCCAGACACTCATCTCTGTGTTCAGGCTGGTTGGTACTCTCAGTTAATGAGCCTCTTGTTGCAGTTTTGTGCTAGTCATTGAGTCCTCCTAGCCAGGTAGGGTGAAATTCCAATGGGTGGGGCAGTCGCTTCCCCCCTGGACCGCAGCTGCTTCAGTGGGATAATCTACCTGAAAAAAATGGTTTCTGAAGCATAGGTTAGTGGCTCAGCCCAGGGATCCAGTTAGTTGCCTTCACATCTTGGTCCCCAGATCCATGAAACCCATCAACCGAGAGCTAGGCTCAAGGCACAACACATTTGAGACTCATCTCTGCTTACCTGCTGGTTGGTAGTCTCTCTCAGCTGGATGGACAGGGTTAAATTCCAAAGGTAGGGCGGTTACTTTTACCCCCTCAGTTTAAAGCTGCTTTGGTGGGAAAAGGCTCCCTGAGGAAAATGGTTTTTGTAGAGTAGGGGAATGACTCAGTATAGGGCTTCTGATGGCCTTCTTCCCAGCTTTCTCCCCAGTGCCTTCAACTCCTGACTCTCCTCCAGCAGCTGCAGTCCAGTCCACTCTCTCTCTGTAGTAGCCCAAGGTGAGTGGCTGTAGAAGTAATTTAGTATGCCGACCCTTCAGGTGGGTGCCCGTGTTCCCAGCGCTTCTCTCTGCCAGACAGAACCTCTGCTCTGGTGGTTTTCACAGCCAGGTATGTGGGTGCCTTTCCCTGGCTCAGCACTCTGTGATGGGGTGCCAGCTTAGGGTTTCAACCTAGACTTCTCAGAGGGAACTTCTGACAGCTAAGAGAGCCCTCAGCTGTTGCCCGTGGCAGACCAGCCAGCCCTGTCTTACCTCCATACCTCCTACCAATCTCCATTCGGGCTCCTCTTTATATCCCTGGTTATCAGGGTTTTCTCCAGCTGGTCTGGAGTTGGTTATTCCAGATGACTTTATTTTAGTTGTAATTCCAGTTTGGTCCTGGAAGATGGTCAGTGTAGCTTCCATTCACTCCAACACTATTTTCTCTCTGTCACATTTTAAATATTCATCCAGCCTGGCTGGTGTGGCTCAGTGGTTGAACATCAACCCATGCACCAAGAGGTCACCAGTTCAATTCCCAGTCAGAGCACATGCCCAGGTTGTGGGCCAAATCCCCAGTGGGGGTCTTGCAAGAGGCAGCCGGTTGATATCCTCTCTCATCAATGTTTCTAAATCTCCCTCTCTCTTCCTCTGTTTTTAAAATCAATAAAGAAAAAAATATATAAATGTTCATCCATATTATTGCACATACCAATATTTTATTTTTATTGCAGAACAATATTTTATTGTGTGGCAAAACCACTTACCCATTCATTAGTTGATGGAAATTTGTGTTGTTTTCACTTTTTGGCTGTTAATAATTCTACTATGAACATTAGCATACAGGTCATTGTGTAAACATATGTTTCTATTTCCCTACCATTGGGTTTTATCCTCTGAGATGACTGGGCTGATTTTCAGCACCTTTACTCATGCTATCCATTCTGTCTTTCCAGTTTCTATTTCTTGCCTAATTCTACATTTATTTGGACCTGACTTCCAATCTTTCTTCTCCATGAAGTGTTCCCTATTTGAACTGTTATTGACCTCATTTTTTTCAGCACTTGTCATCTTGTCTGTCCAGAACAATCTGGCCCTTATTTTCATTTTTTTCACAAGAGATAATTTTGTGTTTCTAAGTATAAATTTGTCTGTGGGCTATATTATTGATATGATGTCTACCTTTGTATACCTTGAATATATGTTAGCTTAACTATTGTTAGGATAAAATTAAATACTTTATACTACATCAATACTTTCTTCTTGGAGACACTGATATAATTAATCTTTTACTCCCAATGTATTTTAAGTAATTGAATATAAATATAATTGATGATTGTTTAATCAGAAGCTCTTTTTTTTTTTTTATTCTCACTGTGAGAAAAACAAAACAAAACCTGGAATCAGTCTTCCTTTACTATGCAGCCAGAAGTGGAATTTATAGATTTATAGTGCTTCACCAACTATAAAGCTCTGGAACAGTTTTTCTGATATGCCATACCACACCACACTAATCTAGTCATGAGTGAACTTGCTAAAGCAGCCCAAAATAAACAGCTGATGGCAATGGGGGTGTTTGGGAACTTGGATTTAGCAATAGAGATCATTATCTCTATGTGAGCAGCTTTTCCCTGCTGTCTACTCAGTCCAGGAGGTGCTGTTTGCATTTGTAGCTCATGATTATTGCCCACTGAGGAGTGCAGAGAGGAAGTAAGCTATACATGGTCATAAACAGAACAGTACTACTGGCTGGTGGAATTGGGGGAAGCTTTTTGAAGTACTGGGGATACATTCTGGGCCTCGTGCTCATTTGCTGCCATGGTCAAGAGTATGAAGAATGATTTCTGGGTCACTTGTATAGGAGACCACTTCCATTGGCATGCCATCTGCCTAAGTATAACATTTTATTAGAACACAAAATACAGCAACAATAATAATGCTAATTGCAAACCTTTAGAGTTTACTATGGGCCACATACTCTTCTAAGTACATATATTTCCTAACTTAACCTCCCCAAAATCCTAGTGAGGTAGATGCCATTATTATCTCCATTTTACAGATGAAGAAACTGACACTGAGAAAATTTAAATAATTTGCTCAATTTTACACAGCTAATAACTGGTGGACTTGGGGTTCAAACCCAGGCATTCTGGCTCCTAAGTAGATACTGCCTCTCAAGCTATTCCATGAAACCTAGTTGTCACCAAAAGCAGCATGTTAACTCTAATAATCAGTGAAAGAGCCATAGTCATTCACATTTGTATTTAAAATCATAGTTGATGTGGTGCTTGGAATACAAAAGTATGAATGTTTATCATAAGGTAATTTTGTTTTTCCCCATTTGACCAATTTATAAATTTGTATATTTATCAGATGAAATATAACTCAAACACCTGAATAATGTTTTTTGTTTTTGTTTTAGTACTGGAGAAGAGGTGGGTGAACTTTTCTGGAAAGAGCCAGATAATAAATGTTTTAGGCTTTGTGGGCCATGAGGTCTCTGTTGTCACAACTTGGCTCTGCTGTTCTGGCATGAAGTAGCCATAAACAAAATGCAGATAAAAGAGTATGACTATGTTGCAATAAAATTTTAATTACAAGAACAAGTATATTTGTACTAGATTATCAGTGGTTAAAAGTTTTTTTTTTCTCTTTATTTTAGTTGCAAGAAACACAGGATCGATGCACAGTGGCCGTAAGATGTGCTGAGGAGACGCAAGATCACATGCAAAAGTATAATTTAAAGCAGCACAGAAAATAACACGAGTATTTATTTATAAAGCATATGAGCAGTGCATTATGAGAATTAGATCATTTATGATAAGAAAAACATCAGTGTTAAGCTGAATAAATATTTCAGCTCTGAGCTATTTTGAAATCCCTAAAATGTGCACATTATCCACAAAATACAACTAGAAAAATGGCACAATTGCCAAATAATCTACTTTTCCAATTTTAAGATTTTATGTAATTGCACCTTCAGATGTTTGTTCAGAAATTATTTGGTATTTTTAAAATCTATGCATAAGAATAACTATTGTAAAATATACATTTTAGGCTTGAAATTGAAAATGCCAAGTTAAAAGTTACAATAAAAAAGCAAGCACACAAAATTGAACAGCTTCAGGCAAATCTGGTGGGGAAAAAATCGGTAAGTCAATCTCTTAATTTCCATTTACCAAAAAGGAGTTTTTATTTCTCTTGTGTAGTATATAAGATATTTTGACAACATGAAAGTCTCACTAGTAAAAGTATTTATTGCTTTCATATGGCACAACTTGGTACTTGTAATTCCTCTTTACAAAGGAAGTTTTCTGAATTCATAAAATTAATAATTTTTAGTAAGATTTGAATAAAAAAAAGATTGTGATAGCCTAAAAACAATATTTAATATAACACATTTTGTTCATTCATTTGTCCAACATTTGGGTTTTCCCCCCCAGCTTTTGGCTATTGTTAATAATGCTGCTATAGACATTGGAATACACATATTTGAGTCTAGAAATTTGAGCAATGATTTAATCTAGAATTTTGAATTTCTCTTGTAATCTAAACTGTTCAGTGAGATTTTGAGAATGAATTAGTTTTAATGTTCTAATGTGTTCTCTTTATCAAGAGATACTAGGTCATTATGCAAGGCTTTTTAGAAAGGGGTGTATTTTTTCCCTTTGCTGGATTTAAAAAAGAGAGAGAGAGATACCATTGAAAAAGTAAAGGCTGCTCAACCAGGGCCTTACATGGTAACATAGTGCTCCTAGCATTGCAGGTTTACAGACTATTTTGTATTCACTTATGTTAATCACCCTTTCAAAGATTTAATAATCCAACCTCAGAGATGGGTGTGTGATCCAGGACTCCAATCTATTGATAAATGGTGAAAACTACATAGCTATTTACCAAGCCAAACAGGATTCTTCTGCCATTTATACTCTCCTCTGTAGGAGGGGCTACCTATAATTTAAGATCAGAAGACTACATTGTGAACCCTAAATTGGAGCAGTAAGGAGTTGCACCTACCAACTAGTTTCTCATCACAAAAGCTAGGCTCATGTAGTTTTGTTATACAGATATACCTATCAGGGGAACTAGAACACTGTGTTGGCTGGTCCTTCTTGGGGCTGAAGAAACATTGAAAATTATTTTTTTCTAGACTTTATATAAATAAGTTATATTAGCATACTTTTTATACAAGTGAGATGTTATGTTGATAAGGAGTCTTTTGTGAATGCTAGTGCCAGGAGTTGTCACCTTAGTTTCATACAGAAATCTATTAAGTTATCAAAAACTGAAAAATTTATAAGAATACCCAAAACTGATAAAATTTATACAAAAATAATGAGGGATTTTTTTTTTGTACATTTCTATATAAATGAGTTAGATTTATGACATGGAATTATTAGCCACCATAAAGTCTACCCTGCGAATCAAAAACTTAATGAGAGAGATTTCAACCAATTTCAGTAGAACTAACTTCTCTGGAAGAGTTTCATCTCATGAATCCCTAGGCCAGAGACTACCTGGGTTAAGAGATTTGATCAATACAATATCAAGGTGAAGAGTCTGAATTGGCAAGAAGATAGCTCTGGCTTTCTCAAGCCTTTAAATATTGAGTATGCATATAAAAGAACTTCAGAAGACTTCCATAGAGGTCAGGTCTCTATGGAATAGGAAATTATTTTTTATAAAGCAAACAATTGATTATCTGATGCTAGTGAAAAACTTTTGCATTATAAGAGAAATACAAGACAGAGAATGCTAGTCAACATCCTAAGGGGGCATCCTAAGGTGCCCCCAAGTTCAGAAAATAACACTGCACTCAAAGTAACACCAGTAAGAATGAACATAAAATGTATGACATTAGCTATCTGCACAGGTAATCATATGAAGTCGTGGTTTATAACTGTGTGGTTGAGGACACTGTCTATGAGGAATGAGAGGGAGAAAGAAAAGTATAGATTGCCTCAGTAAAGGAGTCAAGGCTGGAATGTTGATTAAAAAATCTGCTTTGAAGTGTTAAGATTTAGGGAACTCTGAGAGAATTTTTAAAAAGAAATTTAAAGAGGCAAGGACTGTACATCAGGGTTACTGTTTAGAACTGAATTGGGGTTAGAGGAACAGAGGGAGGGTGTCTGTGTGGTCATTGTTATCAGATGCTGCTGAGAAGTCAGGCAGAATAAAGGACAACAGGAAAAGATGACCCTCAAAAAATGTTTAGTGCAATTACAGGAATGAAAGATTCTTATGTAAAAGAAGAGAATAAGGGCTGAAAATATGAATATGTGGTTGAGACCTTGCATTAAAGAATGTTAGAGTTTAATGGAAGGAGAGAACAGGATGATGAAAAAAAAAAAAAGCTGCAATCAAGAATCAAGTAAAAGTTATGTTTTGGTAAGATAGAGAAAACAAACTCCATGTAAAGAAAGCATTTAATAGAAAAGGATAAATTGAAATCTATGGAACAAAGCATATAGAGAATGAGTCTTTATCTCATTCTAAAGTCAGATTATCATCACAATGTAATGGGGATTTGTCAAAGATTATTTTGGTAATCTTTGATGTGAAAGATGTGATTTAACAGAACCTGGAATATCATGAATTATTGATGAAAATGTTTCTAGGGCATCTTTAAAAACTAAAATATAGCTATTCCTTTAAAAAAATTTTTAAACTTAGTATTTTATATGCAAAAGCCTCTGATTTAACAAATTTTGTCAATTTAAATTCCAGAGAGAAAAATGTGATGAAAATGTAAAGTCAATTTAAACTGCTATAAGAAGTCATTATTTTTAAAAATCTATCATTATTGGCATCAGGTTTATAAAATGCATTTATAAACTGCATTTTGCATTTTATAAACCTGTCTACATATATCACTTATGAACTCATGAGAAATCATATTTTTAAGAAAGAAGAGTGAGTCTCTAGATTTTAAAAAATAATTTTCTTTAAAAATATTTTTCAAAGTCTCAGGATGAAAAAGAACAGTTAAAGAAATATATTGAGTTAAAACAATCTCTGGAGTATAACTTGGATCAAGAAATGAAGAAAAATGATGAATTAGAAGAAGAGATTACCAGGTAAGATTTTAATATTTCAGAACATTTCTACCATTAAGATTCAACTATAATTTTACTTTATTAAATCCAAAAAACAAATTTATTTTCTATCTGTAATTTTCATAATTAAACAAATTATCCTGTTTAAAAATTTACTTGAGAAACTCACAGCACAATCTGAAACTGTTTTGAGTGCCAATATATTACACTTACTTTTTAATGATTCCTAAAACCATAATGAGGATGCCTTTTGCATCTTCCTCTCAACTGCACTTTTCATGTCTACCCTGAATTTTTATTTCTGCAATTGTTGCTCTCTCTGGTGCTCTTTCCTTCACTTAGTAGTGTGCTTCAGCATTCAAATCGTGTGATATCTAAAATCCTGTCCATGTCATTGTTTAACAACATCAAAAAGTATCTTGATTTGGCTTCTGTTTCTTTCTCCTTTTTTTATTTTTTTTTTTATTTTCACCCAAGGACATTTTTCCTTTTTTTTTTCCAGATAGAGTGGGAGGGGGAGAGAGAGAGAAAAAAAAAACATCGACGTGAAAGGGACACATCGAGTGGTTGCCACCTGCATGACCCAACCAGGGCCGGGGACAAACTGCAACCAAGGTACATGCCCTTAGCAGGAACTGAACCTGGGTCTCTCTGGACCACAGGCCGACACTCTAACCGCTGAACCAAACTGGCCAGGGCTCTTTCTCTTTTTTTAGTTATAAAATATATCACACATACAAAAATGTACACATGACTTGAAGTTGTGTAATCATGTTTTTCCCACTCATATGAAAAATAGATCCTCTGCCTGTGGCTCAGTTGGTAGGAGCATCATCCCATGCACCGAAAGGTTGCAGGTCAGATCCCAGGCCAGGGCACATACCTAGTTTGATCCCCAGTCAGGGCATTTACTGGAAGGAACTAATCGATGTTTCTCTATCACATTATTGTTTTTCTTGCTCTCCCATCCTCTCTCTCTAAAAATCAATAAAAACATATCCTCAATTGAGGATTAAAATAATGACATCTTTTCCAATGTCTGGGAAGCTCCCACATGGCTTCACTGTTTATTCTCTGAGAACTTAAGTTTGTTCTCTTCTTATTTAACTGTCTTTCTAAACATTTTTTATATCCCTTTTATATTGTTAACATTGTACTAGCAAAAATCTCTCTTAAAAGTCTTGAAGAGACTGTTACACATTATCTCTCTGATTTCCCTTCTTCTAAAGGCCTGCCCCTGTCCAAATTTTTCTTCAACTCAGACTTCAAAAACTTTTCTTTCCTGCTTCTCTTTCTATATTCAGTGATCTCCTTGATGTTTTTGGTTGGTACTTTTCTTCTTATAGACTATTATCAATAGGAACCAAAAGGTATTTTTATATCTTTTCAAACATTTACATATAATTATACTTTTCTTTACCTTGGATACTGATCTCTGGTTTCTAGTTGATATTTAATAATGGCTTAATGTTTTACTTAACATTACTAAAATGAATATTAATAATTTATTCATAAGAGCTCTATATAGCTATAGTATTAACTCTATCATATACATCATGAAATTTTTTCATCTTATTTACATAAGATAATTTAGATAGTATGCTTTCAAACAATATTAATTGGAACAAATAAGAGGATTGTAATCTATAGGTTTATTTTATATGAATTTGACTTACTCATTTTGTACATTTCTGCAGATTTAAGAAACTCTTAAAAATTACAGAAAGGAAGTTAAATGAATATGAAAATGGAGAGCTTAGTTTCCCTGAAGATTTAAAACCGAAACAAATTGAAATGGATATTCAGATTAATGTGTTAAAACACAAGGTAATTTTTAATCAGTTTTGAGACCCCCAAATCACCTAATTTGGGGAAATATATATTATTTAATGCTTTGAGTGGTGAAATATAAATTTTTCTATTAATTTTATGGGCTTGATATCAGTGAAAAAGATAGCTTTTTTCTTTATCACTGTTCTATGAAAAGGACACACTGTTAGCTCTCCTGAGTTTTGAACCCTGGCAAGAAGCATACCACTACTGGACTCCAGTCACCAGCCCCAAATCAAAAAACAATGTACTTTTGGCAACAGCTTTATTGAAATAGAATGAACATACCATTCAGTTCACTCATTTAAAGTATACAACTCCGTGGCTTTTCCTATATTCAAAGATTTATACAGTGATCATCACAGATCAATTTTAGAACATTTTCATCACTCTAAAAAGTAAGCCTGTGCCCTTTAGTAATCACCCTGTGCCAATGTCCACTACCCTAATCTTTCTGGGGAACCACTACTGGACTCTCAGTCTGTATAGATTTGTCTGTTCTGCACATTTCATACCAGTGGAATCATACAATATATGGTCCTTCATGACTGGCTTTATTATTCATAATGTTTTCAAGATACATCTGTCTTGTAGCATGTATCACTAGTACTTCATCTCTGTTTATTGCTTAGTAACATTGTATGTATGGAAAAAAATTCACATTTTTTAATCTATTCGTCATTTGATGGACTTTTGCATTGTTTCCACTTTTTGGTGTTATTAATAATGCTGGTATGAATATTTATGTCCAAGTTTTTATGTGAACATATGTTTTCATTCTCTTGGGAATATATTTATAAATGGAATTGCTGGGTCTTATCTTTAACCCTTTGAGAAACTGCCAGACTGTTTTCCAAAGTGGCTACACCATTTCGCATTTTCATTCACAGTGGATGAGGGTTCCAATTTTTCCACATTCTTGCCAACACTTGTATCACCTACCTGCCTTTTGATTGTAGCCATCCTACTGAGAATGAAGTGGCATATTATTGTGGTTTTGATTTGCAATTTTTTTTTTACCCTCACTCAAGGACATTTTTCTATTTTTTGTTCAGATAGAATGAGAGGGAGAAAGAGAGAGAGAGATTGAGAAACATCGACATGAAAGAGACACATCTAGTGGTTGCCACCCGCCTGACCCAACCAGGGCCAGGGACAAACTGCAACTGAGGTACGTGCCTTTAGTGGGAACAAACCCGGCTCTCTCTGGACCGCAGGCCAATGCTCTAACCACTGAGCAAAACCAGTCAGGGCACAATTTTCTTTTTTTAATCCTCACCTAAGGATATTTTTCCATGTATCTTCAGATAGAATGGGAGGGAAGGAGAAGGAGAGGGGGGTGAGAGAGAGAGAAACATCAATGTGAGAGAGACACATTGACTGGTTGCCTCCCACATGACCCAGACCAGGGCTGGGGATGAATCACAACTGAGATATGTGCCCTTGACTAGAATCAAGTCTGCAACTCTGGTCCATGGCCCATACTCTAACCGCTCAGCCAAACCAGCCAGGGTTAATTTGCAATATTCTAATGACTAGTGATGTTGACCATCTTTTCACATTTTTATTATCCATTTGTATATCTTCTTTGAAAAACTGTCTATTCAGTTACTTTGCCCATTTTTAATTGGATTGTCTTTTTATTAATCAGTTGTAAGAATTCTTTATATATCCTAGATACAAACTCTTTATTAGATAAAGGATTTTCAACCATTTCTTCTATTTTGTGGCTCACTTTTTCACTTTCTTGATGGTGTCTTGTAAAGCACAGAAGTTTTTTATTTTGTTGAAGTCAGTTAATGTGTTTTTGACCTTTGGTTTCACATCTAAGAAAAATGTCCACATCACATACATCTTTGTTTTCTTCTAAGAGTCTTTATAGGGTTGGCTTTTACACTTTGAGTTGATTTTTATGTATGATAGGACATAGAGGTCTAATTTTATTCATTTGCACGTGGATCCAGTTGTCCTAGTACCATTTGTTAAAAAGACTACTCATGTCTGGTTTAATTGTTTGGCACCCTTGTCAGAAAGCACTTGACCATATAGGTGAGGGTTTTATAAGAACTCTTTCCCAGTCATCTTGCATGTCACCAATTGTTTTATGTAATAATAAAATTTCAGTGTAGTAAAATCTTTTTAACTCTACTTTTGTGGAGATTTTTGCTTGTTGATAAAGCCTGTGGCCAGCTTAGGTTTTGCTGACTCTGTGACATAATGGAAAAGTAGACTGACAGAAATAATGTCCATTTCTTTCTTCTTCATTCAAAGATTTCTGTCTAGGGTCTAACCCAGGGCCTACCACTTCACTCCCATTTCATTAAATCCTGGTGAGAGGATCTGCTGACTCAGTCATTTACTTCATTGTGCTTAGCTCATTGTTCACACACTTGCCAGTAAATTCCACTGTCACCTTTTCTCTTTGGAAATCTCTCCGTTTGAAATCTCAGAATTTTAGAGCCAATATCTGTGCTATGGAGAAACACTGTGGTATAACATAAAGATGAGGTGGTCTTACCTTCCCATACCAACAAGCTTAAAGTAGAGGACAGATTGTGTTTAAGGAGTGCCAAAGGACACTACAGTTGTTTTACTACTGAGGTTTAAAATGATTTTATAATGTTCTCTGTGTTCTCACTGAGGAAAGGAAAACTCAGTGTAACCATGGAATTTGTCTCCATGGCCCCTGGCTGTTCCCTCTCAGCCCCTGTTCTGTCCTTTTCCTGAGAAACGGCCTGTGCCTGCGGCTCCTCTCAGCCTGCTCCCACCCTCAGAGCCTCTCAGACCACAGGCCTCTCTCTCGTGTGCTGTCCTGTCTCCTGTAGTCCAAGCTGGCAGGCAGGGCTTTTGCTACGACAGTTCTCTTAGGAGCTTTGAGTTTCCCGTGAACTTTATTGGGGTTCACGCCATTAGAAAAGCCACCCTCACAAACTCTTTTCAGATAAGCTCTTTACCTTGGGCTCCCTGGGGCTGCTGTAGGACAGCGCCTCTAAAATCCTTACATTCTGAGAATCCTTAAAGGAATTTGAGGCACCACGTCAATCTTTCTGTGGTCTTAAGGGTTTCATAGTCTTGGTTTCAACCTTACACCATGTTTTCCTGGAAGCACCATGGACTTGATGTTATTCCAGAGGCCATTTATTTATTTTAGAATTATTTGACAATTAGACATGTGGGAGAAGCTATCATTGGGAAATGGATATTTGAAACCAATAAGTCCTTGTTCTTTTATATTTAATACTCTTTCTTTAGCTTATGTTTCTCATCAATGTTATGTTCAGCTGCTTCACAGCAAGACCCCCTTTCATCCTGATGCAGTTTTGTTTTGTTCACTTTCCCAGAAACCCTTGCTGTCGACCTCTTCAGGGCCCATCCGGGCCCCACTCACCGTCTCTGGGAGGCCCTTTTGGTTTTCACTCTCGTTCTTCTCTACACTATTTCAGCTTCCACCTACCTTCTGTTCAAAGGCACTTCAACATGTTTTGAATTTTTTCATTTTTAGTGTCAGCACTCTATTTTTCACATCAGTGTCTGTGCCAGTTATTGATTGCTGCTAAATAAACCACCTCCAAACCCAGTAGCTCAAAACAGCGTTTACTTTGTTCACAAGTCTGCAGTGAGGCCCGGCGCCGTGAGGCCAGCTCATTTCTCTTCCCCTGGGCGTCACCTGGGATGACTCAATGCTGGGAACCAGAATCATCTAAAGGCTTCTCCACTCACCTGTTGCAGGGGGCTTTGGGTGGGATGTCCGCTGGGGCAGTCTCAGCTGGACACCTATACAAGGACTGACTATGTGGCTGCTGCAGTGTTCCCAACATGACGGCTGAGTTCTCAGGGGAGCTTCCCTAGAGAGAGACAGACAGATGGAAGTGTATCACCTGGACACAGAAGTCACCCGGCAGTTTCACCACATCCCGTTCCCTAGAAACCAGTTACTTTCTCAGGCCAGCACCTGTTTCATGGGGAAGAGCCACAGAACTTGTAGACATGTTTTAAAACCTCCACATCCTTAGCCTTTTCTTACCAAATAATCATTATATCTAAATAAAAGTATTCTTCCCAAGTCATTATCACTGAAATTCCAGCAAGTATTTTTTGTTGTTGTTGCTGTTGTTATTTAGTGTGTTCTCTCATTTTGTGGAAAAAAACTACAAATTTTGTGAAAGCACTACTGAATTAAGCCTTTTTGTTGTTGTTCTAAAAAATGTACGGCTCATCTCACTAAACTTTTACAATGGAAGATATGATTTCTCTTTAACCCTGGGAATCATTTCTTTTTGGAATGCAATTCAAATTAGTGTCAACCATTTGTAGTTCTGTAAAGGGCTCTGCCATAGAATCCACATGTATAAGATTCACTAATTAGGGTCTTATTTGAGAAGGGATTTGTTCACTCAGGCCTTAATATCTGAATATGATATCCCTAGAACTTCTTTAAAAAATATGGAGAATTAATATTGGGGAAGAGGTAAGAGACTTTTTACAAAGAGGTGACTTACAGTCATTTTTTGAAGGAAAGACATGAAAAAGTCACAGAAAAAAGTATAAAATCAAGTGCAGCTGTTGTATAGAAGATGACAGTAAATATTTTTTTGTGACTCCTGATAATTTTAACTTTGGTCTTGATTCTAATTAAAACCCTCATTCAAAGACTCCACTACAATACATACAACATTTTATTGCAACTAATTCATTTCCAAATTTCATACTGGTATTAAATTGGACAATTATTCCCAATCTACACTTTCTTAACCAACCTACATTATTTTATTCATGCAGAATGATGACCTTACATCAAAACTGCAAACTGCATCTTCCAAATGTCTACGCCTGGATGAAGAAAATAAATATCTTCAACAGGAGTTATTATCTATGAAAGCAATAGAAAAGAAATGTGAAAAACTACAAAATGATAAAAAGAAGTGGAAACAGGAAGTAGTGAACCTCAAAAGACACATGGAAATGAATATGGTAGAGTTCAGTGAAGTACAACAGTATAAACAGAATATTGAAGAAAGAGCAAGACAGGATGTAGTAGAAAAATTAAAAGAAGTCAATCTATTTTTACAGGTCAATTCATTGATCTTTAATATGCTTTGTTTTGTTTTACTTCAAATTACAGTTTGGAGATATTCATTGTATGTGTTTCCCCTACTTCCCTTAATAGCAGCTTGTAGACTTCAGGAAGAAGGATGGTATTTGTTTCTCCTTTCAGTATTTCAGTTTCCATCATTTTATTTTTAAGACCAGTTGATATAAAACAAGACTATTAAGAAGAAAATAAAAAATTTTGATTTAAAAATTATACCATTAAGTTACATTGTTCAATTAAAAAAAATTTTTTTAATCCTCACCTGAGGATATTTTTCAATTTATCCTCAGATAGAGTGGGAGGGGAGGAGGAAGAGAGAGTGAAAGAGAAACATCGATGTGAGAGAAACACATCAAATGGTTGCCTCCCACAGGACCCCAACCAGAGATGGGGATGAACCAAAACCGAGGTAAGTGCCCTTGGCCAGAATGGAACCAGAGACTCTTTGGTCCATGGGCTGACACTCTTAACTGCTGAGCCAAACTGGCCAGGGCCAATTTTTAAATTGATTTTATTGCCCTTTGACTTATAAGAATGCATGAGTACTGATAAAAGAAAGATTTTACTTTATTTTTATGTTAGATGTAATTTAGTTGACATTGATAATGTTTTAAACTTCAGCTTTCTTTCATGTTTAAAGTTCCTCCTTTAATTATGACTCAAAACTAAAAGAAAAAATGTACTAGAATTGTTTCAATTATACTTATTTTTAAAGTGTATCCTTCTTACTGCTTTAGACACAAGCAGCATCTCAAGAAAATCTGGAGCAGTTAAGAGAGAATCATCTTTCTTCAATAAGAAGTCAGTTGGAACTGAGAATTAAAGATCTGGAATCTGAACTCTCCAGAATGAAAATGTGTCAAGATTCTACAGAAAAAGATTTGGGAAAATATAAGCAACTCTACCTAGAAGAATTAGAAGGTAGAAAGTCATTGGCAATGAAACTAAACAAGTAAGTCAAAACACAGAATCAGAAAAAATAAATTTATCTTATTAATTAGTTTCTAAAGCATAATTTTACCAAGCCAGGTTCGTGAGATTGGTAGAAAGTGGAAACTAGCTAAGTTGTATAATTTGGGGAAATAATGTTAGAAAATGAACTTATCTTTCAAATGTTTGCTTAAGGCAATTTGCATCTCTCCCATGTTTTTGATTTTACATGATTTTATTTTTTTCCCTTAATACTTTCGTATATTAACTTGATCTACTAGTCCTTAAGCTAAGTGTTTTTGAGGCTTTATAATTTAGACAGTCATATTATTATAAAATTGCTTGTTGTGTTACCCTAAATAAAAATGTTAACAAATTTGCCCTGGCCGGTTTGGTTCAGTGGTTAGTGTGTCAGCCTGTGGGCCAGAGAGACCCAGGTTTGGTTCCCGCTGAGGGTAAGTACATAGGTTGCAGTTTGTCCCCGGCCCTGGTTGGGTCGTGAGAGTGGCAGCCACTTGATGTGTCCCTTTCACGTCGATGTTTCTCTCTCTCTCTCTCTCTCTCTCTCTCCCCCTCCCACTCTATCTGAACAAAAGATGAGAAAATGTCCTCAGGTGAGGATAAAAAAAAAAAGAAATGTTAACAAATTTAACTATTTTTGGGGAGATAACAACTTAAACCCAAAGGATTAAGTACTGGGCACATTCTAGCACTTGGTAAATTTACTTTCTTGATTGTGATCTTTGTTATTATCTCTAGAGGGCACCTTGAGAGAACTGATCTTTTGCAGTTTTTCTACCCCACATAGAGACAGCCACATTAAATAGGAAAAGATTAACATAGGGGTGAAGGGCAGTATAACAGACAAAGTGGCCAAAATAACAAGGTGGTCTGCTCGAGGGGGTGCCTTGGTAACAGTGTCATAAGCTCATTGCCTCTGGAGCTGTTTTCATTTATTTTGATCACCAGCTAGGCTATCTTTCTCCCTTAGAGGTTGTTGCTCTAAATTATGCCTCAGTGCACAATGGTTACAATCTCCAAGGCATGAGTGTATTGTACAGGGTGGTGGAAGCAAATGCTTGACAATGTCTTTGAGGGACTTTTTTAAATCTCTAAACTGGTTCACTAAATATGTCCAGGGAATCCTCAAGAATACTGTAAGTACAGCCCTTCGAGAAGGCAGCAAGTATTACCTGTTACTCAGTATACATCACTGATTCCCATTTCTCTCCCTCCCTACTTTGAATTATTTGTTAGTTAGTACCTCCTAGAAACATACGTACTTCTTTAGAGCAATTTAGAACCTAGACTTGTATATGGTAGGTCCGCTCCAACACATTTGCATTGCTAAAATGCTGTTTAGTGGGAAATTCCATTTACTATTGTGGCAACTTAAATATATGCAAGTCACTTTGGGAAAAGTAAAATACTAAGCACTGTTGTTTACAATCTTTACAGGACAAATGAGAGGCTAGCAGAGGTCAGCACCGAACTTCTCCTAAAGCAACATCAAAACAGATCCTTACTCAGGAATCTTAATATGAGGCCAGTCCTGGAGACACCTGGTGCTGAAAATCTTCATAATAGTTTTGTACTCTATGGAAATTCTACTCCAAGAGAAAACTTGGTGATTCCTACCTCAAGGTCACGGGCTTCAAACAACAGCATAGAGACTTACTTGATCAAGGTTAGTTATAGTATCTATTTTCCCTTGGGTTTCAGATTGCTAATAAAATTCTTGTGTTTAATTTGGTAAAAATTCTGAGTTGTTTAATTGACAAAGTAAAGTCTTAGTTATTTGTACTAATATAGAAAGGGACAGAAATTTTACAATCTTTTGGATACTCATTTTCAAATGATACCTATCGTTAAATTTATTCAGTAAATGTGGCTGAAGTGACACATTTTAAATTTAAGCTCATTAAAGTTTTATTTTAGAAATTAAATATTTTGCCTAATTATCAATGCTTGGAGATGCTTTGGGTTTTGTTTGGTGATTGTGCATAACAGTTTTACAGTTCTGCTGAACCCCAATTTTTCTAAACCTAACCATAAGTGAATGATTGACATCCAAACCGTTACCCATATATGGATGTTTGTTATTTAAATAAAACTGAGATACATCCTTTTTATGAATTAAATAAACTTATAACAGTAAAATGATTAATTTCTGGGTTTTTTGCTGTTGTAATCCTCACCTGAGGATATTTTTCCACTGACTTTTAGATAAAGTGAAAGGGAGGGAAAGAGAGGGAGAGAAGCACCGATGCGACCCCGACCATGGCCGGGGATTGAACCTGCAGTCCAGGTACGTGCCCTGGACCAGGAATGGAATTCGGGACTCTCCAGTCCACGGGCCAGTGCTCTAACAGCTGAACCAAACGGGCCAGGGCTAATTTCTGTTTTTAAGGGGAAATTTTGGTCATCTTCCTATGTGAGAGAACATTATTTTTACTTTACTTGCATTATTTTTATTTCAACTTTTATAAAATGTGTTGCTGAGCAGTTGTACATTTTCTAAATAGTTAAATTAAGAAAATATTTGAATTTTCAATTTTTAAAATTTATTTCTTTATATATGAATTTTTAAAATGAGCTCACTCGTCTGGCCAGTTTGACTCAGCAGTTAGAGTGTTGGCCTGTGGTCTGGAGAGACCCGGGTTCGGTTCCCTCTAGGGGCACATACCTCGGTTGCAATTTGTCCCCGACCCTGGTTGGGTCGTGACCATTAATGTGTCCCTTTCACGTTGATGTTTCTCTCTCTCTCCTCCTCCCTCTCCATCTGAACAAAAATTAAAAAATGCCCTCAGGTGAGGATAAAAATGAGAGAGAGAAAGGAAAGGGAAAGGAAAGGAAAGGAGAGCTCACTCGTGTCTGTACATCTTGCCAGCCCTGAGTGACTGGTGACTAAGATGGCAATGACAGGGAGTCTTGAAATAGCAAGTAGCTTTCATGTGTATGGCTGTTAATAATATATCCATTCTTTATCTCATTTATTGAGTTCTTTAGCTCCAGAATTTGTTTTTGGGTTTTTTTTTTATAGTTTTCATCTCTTTGGTAACTTCTGTTTATTAATTTTATTTCTGAGCTCATTCAACTGCCTTCTGGGTTTCTTCATGACTGCTATTTTGATTTCTCTCTCTCTCTCGTTTTTTTTTTTTTTCTTAATCCTCACCTGAGGATATTTTTCCATTGATTTTTAGATAGAGTGGAAGGAAGTGAGGGAGGGAGAGGGAGAGGGAGAGGGGGGAGGGAGGGATAGAGGGAGGGAGAGAGAGAGAGAGAGAGAGAGAGAGAGAGAGAGAGAGAGAGAGAAACATCAATGTGAGAAAGACAATTCAGTTGGTTGCCTCCTGCATAACCCCAACCAGGGCATGGGATTGAACCTGCTACCCAGGTACATGCCCTTGACTGAGAATCAAACCCAAGACCCTTCAGTCTGCAGGCCGATGCTCTAAACTGGCCATTTACATCCCAGTCATCATTTGAGTTTCTTTTTGGAGAAGTGTCACTTCCTTTTTTTTCCCATTAATTTATTTATTTTATTACAGATGTTTCTCATTTTTCCCCCACTGATTCCCCCTTCCTCCTCCTTCCCTGCTCTGTCCCCAGCTTTGTTGTCCATGATGAATGTTCATGCACACATGCATATAAGTTCTGTGGTTTATCTCTCCCCCCAACTCCTCTTCTGGGGATTGTCAGTCTGTGCCCCACTTCCACATCTCTAAGACTACCCCATTCCTCAGACTGTTATGTTCATTATATTCCACAAATAGGTAAGATCATATGATACACGTCTTTCTCTGTTTGGCTTGTTTCACTTGGGATAATACTTTCCAGGTCCCTCCATGTTGTCTCAAAGGATAAGAGATCTTTCTTTCTTACAGCTGCATAGTACTCCATTGTGTATATGCACCACAGCTTTGTTATCCATTCGTCTACTGATGGACATTTGGGCTGTTTCCAGATCTTAGCTATTGTAAATAGTGCTGCTACGAACATGGGGGTACATATATTCTTTCTGATTGGTGTTTCAGGCTTCTTAGGGTATATTCCTAGAAGTGGGATCACTGGGTCAAATGGCATTTCAATTTTTAATTTTTTGAGGTAACACCATAGTGTTTTCCATAGTGGCTGCACCAGTCTGCATTCCCACCAGCAGTGTACTAGAGTCCCCTTTTCTCCACACCCTCGCCAGCACTTGATTTGTTGATGGCAGCCATTCTGGCAGGTGTGAGGTGATACCTCATAGTTGTTTTAATTTGCATCTCTCTGATGATTAGTGATGTTGAGCATTTCTTCATATGTCTCTTGACCATTTGTATGTCCTGTTTGGAGAGGTGTCTGTTTAGGTCCTCTGCCCAACACTTCTTATTTAGGAACATTTTGCTTTCCACAATTCAGCAGGTTAATAATTTGAGGTCTGTCTTTTGTTTTCCAGTAGATGGTATAGTGCAGTTTTGGTTTTCCCTTTCCTGTACTACTGAAGTTTGGGGAGAGGGCTGCAGTGAGTTAAAGGTGTGGGAGGCTTAGCCTTGGACATGGGAGTGGCAGCCGCATGACCTTTGCCTGTGGGAATTTTTTCCTAGAAACTGAAAACTTAAAAATTTATTTCAGACAATTTTATAACAGATAAAATTTCTATGATTTCAAAATTTTTTTATGTGCCAGCATTTTTTAGTGTGCCTAACATAATGCATGTTAGTTCCTTAATTAATGTTCTTTAGATATGTGTTAAATAAACCCTGGCCAGTGTGACTCAGTGGTTAGAGTGTTAGGGTTAGATTCCTGGTCATGGGCATGTACCTGGGTTGCAGGTTCGAACCCCTGCCCCAGTCTGGGTACATGTGGGAGGCAACCAATCTGTCTCTTCCACATAGATGTTTCTCTCTCTCTCTCTCTCTCTCTCTCTCTCTCTCTCTCTCTCTCTCTCTCTCCCCCCCCTCTCTCTTCCTCCCACTCTATCTAAACAAAAATGGAAAAATGTCCTTGGGTGAGGATAAAAAAAAAATTTGTCTTCACCTAAAATTTGTAAAGGTATTGAGTATCACATTACCATTATCACCACAGTGTTTTATGTTCTGTACAGTATTTTAAATCCTTTTTCAGGCATTTAGGGAGAGGATACCTTTTATAAGAAATATTTGAATAACAACACTCTGGATTGGGACACTTAACAGTATAATTTGAAATATTCCTACACATTTCATAATTAAGTAGACTATAATTATACCTAGTGAATGCTTCAAAATTTAGCCATAGAAAGGAAACAAAGTTACAATAAAAGATTTAAGTATTTGTTTCTGTTTTTTTCTGCTTTATTGAATTTATTGGGGTGGCACTGGTTAACAAAATTATACAGATTTCAGGTGGTAATGAATTCTCTTAGTTTTTTCTTATCTGGGAAACTCTTTATATGTCCTTTGTTTCTAAATGACACCTTTGCTGGGCAGAGTAATCTGGGTTATAGGTTCTTGCTTTTCATCACTTTGAATATTTTATGCCAATCCCTTCTGGCCTGCAAAGTTTCTGTTAAGAAATCAGTTGACAGTCTTATGGGAGCTCCTTTGTAGGTAACTATTGCTTTCGTCTTGCTGCTGCTAAGATTCTCTATTTGACTTGAACCTCTTGCATTTTAATGATGATGTGTCTTGGTGTGGGCTTCTTTGGGTTCTTATTTGGGGTTCTCTGTACTTTCTGGACTTGTATGTCAATTTCCTTCACCAGGTTAGAGATTTCTGTCATTTTTTCAAATAGGTTTCAGTTTCTTGCTCTCTCCTCCTTCCAACACCCACATGATGTGAATGTTGGTAAGCTTGAAGTTGTCCCTTGTGTTCCTTGCACTCTTCTCATTTTTCCCCCTGTTCTGATTGGGTGTTTTTGCTTCCTTATATATCAGATTGCTGATTTGATTTTTGGCTTCATCTGCTCTACTGTTGATTTCCCTGTAAATTATTCTTCATTTCAGTTAGAGTATCCTTCATTTATGATTGGTTCTTTTTTATGGTTTTCATGTTTTCTTTTTGTGCTGTTGAAGTTCTCAATAATAAGTTCATTGAGTATCCTTTTGATCATTATTTTGAACTCTGCATCTAGTAGATTCCTTGTCTCCATTTTATTCAGTTCTTTGTCTAAAGTTATGTTCTGTTCTTTCATTTGAGACATGTTTCTTTGTCTCCTCATTTTGGTAGCCTCCTTGCATTTGTGTCTACGTATTAGATAAAGCTGCTATATATTCTGTGCTTGATAGAGTGACCTAATGTAGTGGGTGTTCTGTAGGGTCCAGTGGCACAGCCACCTCAACTACATAGGTACACCACTCCTTCCATGTGTGGGCTGTGTACACTGTCCTGTTGTGGTTGAACTTTGATTGCTGTTGTCATGTCAATAGAAAGGATTTACCCCCTGGCCTACCAGCCACAAGGACTGCCTGACCACTGACCACTGTGGAAGATCAGCTGTGTAGGGGACCACCCCATGGAGCAAGACTAACACCTTTGGGGCTCTGGTGTCAGTTGAGTCCACCCCTCAAGTGTGTAGCTTGTGGAGGTGGTTGGGTGGTACTTCGACATGGTCTGAACCTGTCCACTGGGTGCACTGGCTCTGGGGCCTCTGTGAGGTGCAGCCCAAGGTCAGCTTTCACTTATGTTCTGCCTGGGGCCACCCAGCATAAGTTACAACGCAGTCTGCAGATGGCTGGACTTGGAGGTGCCCAGGTGAGGCCAAGCTGTAAACTAAGGCCAGCTGCTACTAGTGCTGCACCTGGGGCCACTTAACGAGGTACTGGCACCAAGGCCAGATGCTGCTTGTTTGAGAGGTTTCAGGAAAGTTTGAAGCATGAACTAAGACAGGACATTTGTATGGAAAAGCCACTGGAAATGGCTTGTGTGGCCCCAGAGCTTGGTTGGGGTGGGGTCTCAGGGAATCACCAGAGCACATGAACAGTGTGAGCCTGTTCGATGAAGACTCAGATATGGTGCATTCCTGCCAGTTCTGTGCCAGGAGGGCGAGGGGATGGGGTTTCATAGAAAAGGAACAATGACCTCTGCCAGCACTTTTGTCTGGCAGAAAGCTGTGCCCTCAGCTCTCACCCTGATGTCAGACAGCTCAGTTCCTCCCTGCATGCCTTGAGAGCTGCTGCCACAGCCCTGGAGCTCAGAGGCAGTGAGTCCAGAGTAAGTCCATACGCGATCCCTTTATGAGGAACTGCCTGGGACTCCAGGAGCGCTCTGTCTCCATCAGCCACAATCCTTGCTGGTTTCTACAGCCAGAAGCTCTGGGAACTTCTCTTCCTAGCACTTCAGCCCTGGGCTCAGGGACCTGGTTATGGGGCTGGGACCCCTCACTCCTCAGGAGGGGACCTCTGTAGCCAAGTTCTGTCTCCCACTTTTTATATGGCACATGCAGGTGTGCGGCCAACCCGTTCCATTCTCCACCCCTCCTACCAGTCTTAATGTGGCCTCTTCTTTAAATCCCTAGTTGGAGGACTTCCATTCAGCTATATTTCAGGCAGTTCTGGATGATTATTGTGTAGTTTAGTTGTAATTTTGATGTGGTTATGGTAGGATTCGAGTCCTGCATTTACCTACACCACCATTTTGCCCGTAAGTCCCTGATTAAACTTGTATAAAGGGAAATTTTTCTAAGAATTGCAAAGTACCATTCTGTGTAAAATATGATTTGACATGTTTAAACTTTGTAGCAATAGGATCTGACATACGCTATTTATTTTTATAATAATGTCTCTTGTTTAACTCAAACACCACAAATAATATTTGACTTATTTCAGATGCAGCAGGAGTTTGAAAAAACCCTAACTAAAGAACTAAAAGAAGGTATGTTGCCAAAATTTATCAATTAAATTTAGTTGGCATTGATTTCTGAAATGCACTATAAACAGTAAATGGCATTTGTTTCCATGTTTGGATACAGATATTATATTAAATATTTTTTATACACAGTGAATGAAAAATGTGAAAGCATAAACATTCAAAATGAAGAATACACTCAGTCCATATTTATTCATCACATTCCATAGCTTTTTAAAAATCTTAAAAGTCCATGTTTTTTGTTTTCGTTTTCTGCATTTCTGGCTGTCCCTTCCTTTCCTCTGCCACGCCCATGGGACTGTCACCTGCACAGTGACAGTGCTGTTAGAACAGCTCCTCCCACCTCCTTGCTAGTGATGTACCTGGGGAAGCAGTTACCGCTCACACAGCCATCACCCAGGGGTGACATTAAGATGTCCAGGCATTGACTTCATCACTGGTTTACCTTTTACCCTCAGGAAAAACTCCAGATTTCTTTACATGTAGTAAAAATACCAAAATCCATTTAGTTCTTCCCACATAACTCAGCCTTATCTCTAGGTGCCACTTCCCCTGCTCTGCCCCTTTGCTGTGGCTCTGGGCAAACTAGACTGCTTCTCGCTGCACAAGAGCCCTTCCTCCCTCTGGCCTGGCCTCTGCTGCATTGCTCTCTGGCACACATTTCCCTTGTCCTTCAGGTGTCGTCGTGCACATCACCTCCACCGAAACCCAACATTGACACAAACCTGGGATGATGTCCCTTCCATGTGCTCCAGTAGTGCCCTGATTTATTTTTGTCGTGGTCTTCGGGACTCTGAGTGAAAACTGCCCATTTATGTCTTTTCAGTGTATAGTGTATGGTTGTTGAGGGCTGGGTTGTGTCATCTTCATCTTGTAACTCCTGTGCTTGTCATATCCCGAGTGCATGGTTGTTGAACAAATGAATGAACTTCCAGAAAACCAGCAGCTCTGATACTGAGCCACAGTAGCAATAATTCAGTGAGCCACCATGGGCTAGTTGTACTTTACAGTAATCTTGTGTTGTGGTCCTATATAGATGTTGCCATTCTTCTTAACACATACTTAGTTATTGTTTAGATAATTATAATTATTTCTTTTTTTTTCCAGATGCTGCTGAATTTGAATCTGAATCCTACGGAGCTTATCCTGTAGGATCAGTTGATCAGTCAAATTCATATCAAGATTTATTTTTGAAAACATCACAAGAATATGTACAGATTTTAAAGAAAAATTATATGATCTGAAACAAATAGTAAAAGTGTATTTTACTATTTGGACTGTTTACATGCCATTTTAATTGTTTTCCATTAAACACATGATATGTGAAATCTTATTTAAAGATAAATATATTTGGACCACATTTATATGATGAAAATGTATATAATATTTTAAACTCTGTTTCTTTCTTTTTTTTTTTTTTTTATCTTCACCTGAGGACATTTTTGCATTTATCTTCAGATAGAGCAGGAGGGAGAGAGGTGGGAAGAGAGAGACAGAAACATCGATGTGAGAGAGACACATCGAGTGGTTGCCATCCACATGACCCTAACCGGGGCTGGGGACAAACTGCAACCGGGGTACGTGCCCTTAGTGGGAACCAAACCTGGGACTCTCTGGTCCGCAGGCCGATGCTCTAACCACTGAGAAAACCAGCCAGGGCTAAACTGTTCCTTGATATCTATGCGATTTGGCAGGAACGTCACGCAGCGACGCTGAGTTCTTCCCAGGGCAGCTGATCTGGAGGCACAGGTGCGGTTCCACTACTGGCGATGTTGACTTTGGTCATGTGGTTAGGAAGACTGCCAGGTTCATCCACAGTAAAATTACTGTTTACTTTTTGTATTTCACAAATATCATGTGTGGAGGTACTTTGAGTCTCTGTAAATAGTTGGTTACTTCTCAGAATTTCTCCCAGTAGATTTAGCATCCACTGATGATTCTTGCTTGAGTCCATTATAATGTTGTTTGCCGAAGGATGACATTCTTATTCTGTCTTTCCTTCTACATTGTTAAATACTTGAAGCCAAACCAAACAAACAATTGAGGGAGAAGGAAAAGATTAGTTTGGTACTTAATTTTCCCTAGATTTGGCCAGCAAGTAGCCTTTTTGAGGTGACTTCATATCTTTTTTTACCTATCCCCGTTATTCTTTGCACACTTCCTTACTCTCTGGACCACAAGATGTTCCAGGCTCTTCCTGTAGTTTTCGGCCCCAGCCCTGGAGTCAGCCATGTTCCATGAAAGCCCTGATTCCTTTTAAAGGCACTAGTCATGGTAGGTGTGCATTTGCTGTTGGGGTTGTCATTGCTCATAGGCTCCCTCAATGAGCAGCAGGGAATCATGTGTGTATACATGAATATACATACATACATACATACACACATACACACATGCATACATTAATCTGCAGTTGTCTATCAAAATATATTGAAAAGCAGGAATTCTTACCAATACATTCCAATTCAATCCCATATAGGTCATTCTAGTTTTTTTCCCTTTCAAATTTTATTTATCTTTATTTTTTTAAAAATGTTTTTACTATTTTTTGAGAGGACAGGAAGAGAGAAACATCAATCAGCTGCCTCCTGCACACCCCCTACTGAGAATCGAGCCCACAACCTGGGCATGTGCCCTGACCTGGAATTGAACCAGGACCTCTTTGTCCATGGGACGATGATCAGTCCACTGAGCCACATTGGCCAGGCTCCCTTTCAATTTTTAACTCCCTTTTCTGACAGTAAGCTGGCTCTCATTATCAGTATCTTTATTTGTTCAATCTTCTTGTTTGTGACCAGTCTGTTGTCCCTGCCCCTATGTACATGTCTTCTCGCTTCCACTTAGATTGTAACTCCCCACATTGGGTGGTGTCCATTACTGTCCCTTCCAAGTGTATGCCCTCTTTTTCCCTTCCTTTCTCAGGCACCTGTGCCAGGCCACCTCTTCTGCAGATGATTTACCCCATCAGGCTCTGAAAACCCGAGCTGGCTGAACTGCCCGTGTGGCTGCCTCCTGACCTTGTTTAGTCTTGGATCCCTCATCCTATGTTGTTCACCTTTCGGGGATGCTCTGACTTGAGCTCTAACTCTGTGCAGGGTGGCCCTTCCGGACTCACACTCTCCTCATTTTACCCAGGCTCCAACAGCTCACTCTGGGCCACCACACCGCCCTGATTGTGTCTCCATGGCTTTGAACTGAAATGTTTGGGAAGAGAAGAAAGCAGGAAACGGCTCCAAAAATCTTTTATGAACAACTTGTCAAACTCTACAAATATACAGCAAAAATTTGATTGGAACTGTAGTGGGTCTCTAAAATAAATTATAGAGAAAAGATATTTATAATTTTGAGCCCAGTCGGTGTGGCTCAGTGGTTGAGTATCAACCCATGTACCAGGAGGTCTAAAACAATAAAGAAAAAATATATAATATTGAGTTTTCCAAACTATTTAATAGTCTGTCTGATTAACTCTCAATGTTTAAAATATTTCCCATAGAGGTCTTGCATATATATTTTTTACATTTATTCTCTATTATTTAATACTTTTGATCCTGGTATAAATATTATTTTAAAAATCTGGGTCATTTGTTTTCTTGCTAGCTTTTAGAAATAAAATTGTTATGTTACATTTTGAGCTTGGATTTGTTTTTTTATCTCTAATTTTTTTTTTAAAAAATTTCTTTATTGATTGTTTAGAGAGAGAAGAAGGGAGAGGGAAAGAGAGATAGAAATATCAATGAGAGAAAACATCGACTGGCTGCTTCCTGCATGCTGCCCCCCCACCCCCAGCCCAACACTGGGGATTTGGCCCACAACCTGGGCATATGCCTTGACTGGGAATCGAACCGGCAACCTCCTGGTACATGGGTCAACGCTCAACCAGTGAACCACACTAGCCAGGCTTTTCTTGAATATTTTATCTGCAGATTATTTTGGATTTTCTACATGAATAGACATATAATCTATAAATTGATAGTTTTATTTATTCTCTTTCAATTCCCAAAATTTTATTTTTCTTTCCCACTGTAAGAATGATCTCAAAAAAGGGGGGAGGTGGGTAGGGGAGTTTGTTGGTGTCCATGTCTTGTTGAAATTGCAAAGGAGAAAATAGCTATAATTATGTAGATAGTGGGTTTTCTTTATTAGTGTATTAATTACCTCTTGCTCTATGACATTGTTATTGGTAGCAGTGGGCTTCTTGGAGTACCACTGGAAGAAGCATTTCCAGAAGTCCCCATAGGAGGATGAGATATGGCAGAAAGCCTTTTTTCCATGGAATTACACCCCTAGGTTTTTGAAGTCCCATTTCCCTTAGTCTAGTCATTAAAGAATGTAGCTGGGGTTTCAATGAAGCTCAAAGCAAAGCCAATGTCCAGAGTTTCCTTTCCATGTTGGAGCTAGGTCCAGTTCAGCATCAGGCTAGTTACAGTCCATTAGTCCATTGCGTGTAGGGCCCATAGGGCCATGGGTCATGTGGGAAAATACAGGAAAGAAAGAGCAAAAGAGCCCGAGAAGCCCAGGGTCATGTGAGTCCCAAGAGAGCCAAGAATACTAGAGAGCAGATTTCTTTGTTGAAGGCAGTGGTTCTCAACCTGTGGGTCACGACCCATTTGGGGGTCAAACGACCCTTTCACAGGGGTTGCCTAAGACCATCGAAAAACATTATTTCCGATGGCAATTCGTAACGGTAGCAAAATTATAGTTATAAAGTAGCAACAAAAATAATTTTATGGTTGGGAGTCACCACAACATGAGGAACTGTATTAAAGTGTCACAGCACTGGGAAGGTTGAGAACCACTGGTTTAAGGGGTAAAGTATCCCAGATCTTTTTGGGCTTGCTGTGGCCACAACCATTCTGGCCAATGACCTCTGTTCCCAGAAGTGACTGACAGCAAACACCTTCCCTATGTCATCCCAACTTTACTGGGCATGTGCCTACTATCTTCTTTTTATCCAGTCCCATTCCCCCAGTGTTTTTCAAGGAATATGCCTATAATATCTGACCTTCCCTTTGCTCCTTTCCTGTTATTATAACTAGCTGATTTCAGTGGTATCAAAATCACCACCAACTTTGCATTATCCCGCCATATTCACTGGTACCTTGGGTTTCAGAAAGGAGCCAGCTTCTAGGACTGGGTGTTTGGAAGGAAATAAATTCAAACTTAAACTGACTGACTTCCAGTTTCTGGTCCAGCATATAAGAAGCTTGGAATTTTTCACTCTGTCTTAAGTAAAAAGTTGAACAAACTGTAAAATCAACACTTTTAGATCCATAGGGGAAGTGAGGTCACAGGATAAACTTCTGTGCCCCAAACTGAAGACACTGACAGGCCAGTACTGAGAATCACACTTACCAGAGCAGCAATCTCCATGGGAACCAGTGCTGGGGTGGGATTCTGGACTGTAATTGGTGAATATTGCTACAGGCTCAGTGTGGACAATCATCAGTTAAAAACTCCAGGAGGATCAATTTACCAGGAGTGGGGGGCACATTTTTGTGAGTTTTCTCTCCTAAATCTTTACCAGGTTCTCACAGTGAATATCAAAAAAATTCCCTGGCAGGTGGAGCAGAAAAGGAACTATTTTGAAATATTCCAGAGCACTGTGTACTTTTCAACAAGGTCTGCCCTCAGGAGAAACTATTCAAACAGAGCCTAACTGACCGGGAGAAGGGAAATACCCACGTCCAGCCCACTCTAGCCATCCTGTCCTACCCAAGGTTGGGGCAGGGTTACTGAGAGGCACATGTGAAGTTCACAGTCCAGAGGACAGGTTTACTAAAAACTGAGACCTAATCCTAGGACTCCAAAACACTGCTGCTCCCCCGATACCTACCACCACATCACTCAGTTTACAGCAGTTCCGTTCACCAGTACATCATGCCTGGCTATCAAGAAATGTTGTAAGACATCCATATAAAAGACCTAAACACCACACCTTACAGTCCTCACAAAAATAACTGGCTCACAGATGCAAATGTAAAACAGAACCATGAAACTCCTAGAAGATAACATAGGAGAAAGGTCATTCCCTAGGTGACCTTGGGTATGGCAGTGACTTTTTAGATACACCACCAAAGGCATGATCCATGAAAAATAATTGATAAGCTGGACTACATTAAAATTAAAAATCACTGCTCTGTGAAAGACAGTGTCAAGAGAATGAGAAGACAAGCCACAGACCAGGAGAAAATATCTGCAAAATCCACATCTGATAAAGGATGTTATCCAAAATATACAAAGAACTCTTAAAGTTCAAAATGAGAAAACGATCCCATTAAAAGTGG